TTTATAAATAAAAGCTAGGCCAATGGTGGTGTGATCTACTTCTCACCTCTTAATCTAAGTAATTAGCTATAATCACAACCATTCCCAACTCCTTTCCTCCCATGGCAGAAAATAAATTGCTGCCTATACCTATTTAAGGCCATTCTCACCACCTGTGCTTTTTATCTTGGAGCAGCTTATTGTGAAGTGTCTAAAAACGTAAGCTTTAGAATTAGCCACACAGACTTCAAACTGAATCCTGATCCTGACAGTTATTATATACTGTAAATGGGTTAACTTCTGTAAGCCTCAACTTTCTATGATATAAGGATAATCAAACCTACCTAATGGTTTTCTGATTTAATGACATTAGAGTTCCTGGAGTAAATGGTCAATAAAGGATAGCTGCTGCTAATAATGATAAATTAATAACATCATCAACACGTCCTCCAGTGTCCCGTCCGTTCCTTCTCGTGTTTGTTTACCCTGTTAGCCTACTGCTTTCTTCCTCTTGGCTTTATAAACTTTCCGTTTATCCCACATTTTTCTCTAGTGTGCTATTCAGTATTTTCTCTCTCTCTCATTCTTAGCTCTCCCTAGGGTAATTTGTCCTTATGGTCTCTGTTGCCTTGCCCCGAGCCCAGTACAGCCTGGATCCTGCCTCTACCTCACTATTCAAACTGTTCTCCTTAAGGTCAGCACTGGACTCCAAGTTACCAAATCCTTTGAACATTTTTCAGTCCTGCTTCATTTAACACTCCATTAAACTCTATTCCCTTTGTTTCAGGATACCACACTCGCCTAGTGTCTGTTATTTCTCTGACCATTCCTTCTCTTTCTCCTTCCTGGTCTCTTTCCACTCCTACCCTCTAGTGTTTTCTTCTTGGAATATTGCTCTTGTCCCTCTACATACTATTCCTGGGTGATTTCACATATTTTGGTGGTTTTTAACTCTTAGGTATATCTCAGCTCTACCTTCACAATCTGTATTTTATATTGAGCTGGATGGCCCTTAGGCACTTTAGCGTTTCTAAAAGTGAACTCGTCATCTTCTCGTCCCCAATCCCCCTTCCCAAACCTTTTCTTTCTCCAATATTCTTTGTATAAATTGGGTGCCTCAGTCATCCTTGATTCCTCCCTCCTGATTTTGCCTTCTAAGCACTACTTTAATCTGTTGCCTCCTCTCCACCAATATCTTAATTCAGGCCTTTATCATCTCTCATCTAGACTACTGCAGCAAACTCCTATACTGTATCTCTTTCTACAGTGTTGTTTCTTTCAAATGCATCTCCCATGTAGCCACCATGGTGCTCCATATAAAACAAACCCAGCCATGTTTTTTCCCCATTTAAATGATTCCAGGTTCCTTAGGGTGGCCTTCAGGACTCTCAGTCATTAGTCCTCTGATCCTCCTCCCTAGCTTCATTTTTAACCACTTCCATCTTTGGATTTTACCTTTCAGCGGTACCAAACCATGTGTAGTTCCCAGTGTATACCATGCTATTTCTTATCTCTGTGCCTTTAGTCATACTGTTTGCTCTCTGGAAAGAAAGCCCTGTCATCCTACCCCCACCACCTGTCTTTTATCTGCCTAATCCTTTTATATCCTTTAACTGAGTGGTTTTTTAATATTTTAGGAGTGATGTAAACCTTTTAGTGTATGATGAATACCCTAGAACCTCACTTTGGAAAAATGTATATAATCCCCAAATTTGCACATAATACCAGGTTTTAAACCCAAATTAAAACCTCCTTCAGCTAAGGTATTATTTTTCACAGAAAAAAAATCTATTCTAACCCACTATAGATTGGTTTGGTCTCCATTTTTCATATTCTTTTACAATATGTGCATATTTTGTTCATTGCATGTCCCATATTACATTAAAATTATTTAGTGTTTTTACCACTATACTTTGAGCTCCTTGAGGGTGATCACTATCCCACTTATCTTTGTATCCCCAGTTCCTAGCCCAGCACACATAAATTATTACAAAAAACATTAAGGTTGAATATTCCTAAAGAACAAATCAGCATCTACTGTGGAGCATGGACTCATTTAACAAATGTCTATGGAGAGCCTGCTGTGCACCAGGAATCATGCTGGATCCTGAGAATACAAAGTTAGCAAAACAAACTAGAGCCTGTCCTCATAGGACTTAGAATCTGATGTCTCAAAAAGTATGTGTGTATGTATGTACACGTTTTTTTACTATATGCAATGTGTTAGTACGCTTCCACCACCCCTGTCAGTTACTCCCCTCTGTTACTAACTTCTTTAAATTTTTAGTTTTAATGTTTCTCTTTGTTTAAATATCTTTCATACCATAACTTTATACCCTTAAATGTCCTTTTACATCTATTAATTGACATCAGTTTTAATATATTTTGGACTTGGGTTATAAAAGGTAAGTTATTCAGGCCCTGACCAGTGTAACCCGGTTGGAGCATCGTCCTGCAGACCAAAAAGCCGCAGGTTCAGTTCCCAGTCAGGGCACATACCCAGGTTGTAGGTTTGATCCCTGGTCAGGGCGCATACGAGAAGGCAACCAATCGATGTTTCTCTCTCATGTTAATGTCTCTCTCTTTCTCTCTCTCTCTCAAAGCAATGAAAAAAATGCCTCGGGTAAGGATTAAAAAAAAATTAATCCATGCATTTAAGCTACTTCATATCTTCTTTCCCCTTCTGTTCATCCAGGTGTTTGTTAGTTATATTATTTTTAAATTGTTGGGGCTTGCTTTTACGTATTTCTAAAGTTGTTTAAGGCATGGTACTATATTAAAAAATATTTTAATCCTTGCCCCTAGTCTTTTTTCCTAGTCATTTTTTACTTGGCTGAAATTTCCTATAGTTTCTTTTTTTTTTTTTTTTAATTCCACCTTTCCCTATTCAAACTATGTACCTCAATATTCCTGAGTAAAAGTAACAAGAATATTAACAGTAACATTTATTGGGTCCTTAGTGTGTGGCTGGCACATTTATTATTAGTTTTTTCTTCTTTGTTTATTTAGATTATACAGTTTATCATAAATAAGTGTTTGGTTTTTTGTTTTATTTTTATTTCTCCCATCCCTGCTTTCTCCTCCCCTTTAGCAACCATTAGTTTGTTCTCTAAATCTGTGGTTCCGTTTTTGTTTTGTTTTGTTTAGATTCCACATGTAAGTGAAATCATACAGTATTTGTCTTTCTGACTTTTTTCACTTAGCTTAATACCCTCTAGGTTCATGTATGTTGTTACAAATGGCAAGATTTCATTCATTTTATTGCCGAGTAACATTCCATTGTGTATGTGTATGTGTGTATGACATGTCTTCTTTATCCATTTATCTATCAATAGGTTACTTTCATATTTTGTTTATTACTAGTGATGTTCCAATGAACGTAGAGGTGCATGTATCTTTTAGAATTAGTGTTTTTGTTTTCTTTGGGTAAATAACAAGAAGTGAAATTGCTGGGTTGTATGACAGCTCTATTTTTAACTTTTTGAGGAATGCTGTTTTCCATAGTGGCTGTACCAATTTAGAATCCCACCAGCTTGTACCTACTAGAGTTCACCTTTTTCCACATTCTCACCAGCATTTGTTGTTTGTTGATTTATTGATGGTAGCCATTCTGACAGGTGTGAGGAGATATCTCCTTGTGGTTTAAATTTTCATTTCTCTGATGATTAATGACATTTAGCCTCTTTTCATATGTCTGTTGGGCATCTGTATGTTCTCTTGGGAGGAATGTCTATTCAGGTCCTTTGCCCATTTTTTAATTGGATTGTTTGGGTTTTTGGTATTAAATTGTATGAGTTCCTTATATATTTTGGATATTAACCTCTTGTTGGCTGTATCATTAGCAAATATCCCATTCAGTAGGTTACCTTTTCATTTTGTTGATAATTTCCTTCACTGTGCAAAAACTTTTTATTTTGGTGTTTTGATGTTTTGTTGGGAGCTTTATCATAAAAGGATATTGAATTAAAATGTATGTATTTAAATTAAACATTAAAAAAGTGTGTAGAAGTGCTTTGATAAAGGAAATAAAGATAGACTAGGGATTGTATGAAAAGAGCAACTAATATTTATTTGGGAGGTCAGAGAAGGCCTGCCACAGGTATTGTTAAGACCGGCAGTGTAAATAGGGATAGGACTTACGAGAAGTTCCCCTTAGAACAACATCTGCAAAGGTCTTCATATGAAGCAACGTGTGTAAAGAGAACCAAAGGCATTTCCTTGTGGCTGAAATAATGAGTTTGCTGGATAGGAGGGACCCAGCAGGAGGAGGAGAAGTTTCTGCTAAAATGTACTCAAGAGTTCACACTTGCTCCGCAAGTCAGTGGGAAGGCATTAAGATTTTTATTATCCAATAATGTTCCTAGCCAATATAAGAAAAGATGAGTCATGCCAACATGTGTATGTGTGTATACAAAGAAAATCTATTAGCTAGTGAAAAACAAATAAGCTTTAGAACACTGAACAGAGCTGTAAAGTGGTTACTGTCTCAGCTTGAACCAAAACTGACAGAAGTGATATCATGCAATATCTTGGCTTTACATTGAGATGGAAACCACTTTACATGGATTAGGTGGGATGTTAGAGAAGCTAAGAAAGCCCAAAGAAAGAAAACATAAAAATACCACTCTTTCTGCTACTTTCCTTTCTTTTATCTTATTTCCCATGAGGTTTTGTTTTGTTTTGTTTTGTTTTGTTTTTAAATAACTTGCAAACAGGGATCATCTCTAAGAAAGCAATTTTCACTGACTTTTGCTAACTTCTCTGGCTCATAAAACTATTATGATTAAGATTACAGGGAAAACATACTTTAATTTTTGTCTAACTTAAAACATCTTCTAAAACATGGATAATTTCAATAGTTGAAGAGTATTTCAAAATCTACTCCCAATATTGAGGACTTTAATAAAAAGATTTTATATGAACAAATAGATCTCACCTTTAATGCCTTTTATCATAAAATACTCTGTATATGGCATTTATCCAAAGATTATGTATATTGACTTTACTGCTTTCTCTTTCAGATACTTTTCTTTGGATTTGGGTGGCTTTTCTTCATGCGCCAACTGTTTAAGGACTATGAGGTGAGAAGAGATCATTCTGATGATGCTAACACAGTATGAAATTAAATTGTTACAATTTTTTGTTTTTTAAATATATATTTTATTGATCATGCTATTACAGTTGTCCCCTTTCTTTCTTCCCCTTTTTTCCCCTCCACCCTGTCTCGCCCCTCCCCCCAGCATTCCCTCCCCCCTTAGTTCATGTCCATGGGTCATACCTATAAGTTCTTTGGCTTCTCCATTTCCTATACTCCTCTTAACCTCCCCCTGCCTATTTTGTACCTACTATTTATGCTTCTTATTTCCAGTACCTTTTACCCCATTCTTCCCCCTCCCCCTCCCCTCTGATCTCCATTTCTATGATTCTGTTCCTGTTCTAGTTGTTTGTTTACTTTGTTTTTGTTTTTTTAGGTTCAGTTGTTGATAGTTGTGAGTTTGTTGTCATTTTACTATTCATACTTTTTAATCTTCTTTTTCTTAGATAAGTCCCTTTAACATTTCATATAATAAGGGCTTGGTGATAATGAACTCCTTGAACTTTACCTTATGTGGGAAGCACTTTATCTGCCCTTCCATTCTAAATGATAGCTTTGCTGGACAGAGTATTCTTGGATATAGGTCCTTGCCTTTCATCACTTTGAATACTTGTTGCCAGCCCCTTCTTTCCTGCAAGGTTTCTTTTGAGAAATCAGCTGATAGTCTTATGGGAACTCCTTTGTAGGTAACTGTCTCCTTTTCTCTCACTGCTTTTAAGATTCTCCCATTAACTTTAATCTTGGGTAACTTAATTATGCTGTGCCTTGGTGTGTGCTTCCTTGGGTCCAACTTCTTTGGGACTTTCTGAGCTTCCTGGATCTCCTGGAAGTCTATTTCTTTTGCCAGATTGGGGAAGTTCTCCTTCATTATTTGTTCAAATAAGTTTTCAATGTCTTGCTCTTCATCCTCTCCTCCTGGCACCTCTGTGATTCAGATTTTGGAACATTTAAAGTTGTCCCAGAGGTTCCTGAGCCTCTCCTCATTTTTTTGAATTCTTGTTTCTTCATTCTGTTCTGGTTGAATGTTTATCTCTTCCTTCTGTTCCCAATCATTGATTTGAGTCCTGGTTTTCTTCCCTTCACTGTTGGTTCCCTGTATAGTTTTCTTTATTTCACTTTGAGTAGCCTTCACTTTTCTCTCCATTCTGTGACTATACTCAACCAATTCAGTGAGCATCCTACCAGCATTTTGAACTGTGCATCTGATAGGTTGGCTATCTGTTCATCCCTTAGTTCTGTTTTTGGAGCTTTGATCTGTTCTTTCATTTGGGCCATATTTCTTTGTCTCAGTGTGCCTGTTACATTGAGAGGGGCAGAGCAAACCAGGACAATGCGTTGTAATGCTGTGCATAGGGAAGGGGTCTGAGAGGGAACAATCTCGCTTGCATGGCTCACCCCCAGCTTTCAGTCACTTCCCCCACTACCCACTAGTAAATTGGGCTCTTCCAGTGCTGATTCCTAGGTGGGTGGGTTTGTGTACCTTTCAGGACCCTGTGGATCTCTCCAAAGTACTCTCCTGTGAGGCTGGGAGTTTCTCCTTCCACCGCAACCCACACAGGTATTTACCTCCAGGGGTTTGAGGCTTTCTTTTCCCGCACTGCAGCCCTGGGTTGTGCAGTCTGTCTGTCTCACTCCCCAGCTGTTCCTCCCAGTTTATCTGCACACAAATGTGAGACAGCCCAGTCCACCAGCCACAGCTTTGCTGCACAGCCTCTCTACCCTGACTTCCTGTCTCCACCCCTCCTATTGATCTGGATGAATGTTTCTTCTTTAGCTCCTTGGTTGTCAGACTTCCATGCAGTTCATTTTTCTGGCATTTCTGGTTATTTTTTGTTTTTAAATTTGTTGTCATCCTTCTTTTGGTTGTGCAAGGAGGCAAGATATGTCTACCTACGCCTCCATCTTGGCCGGAAGTCACTGAATTTAAGTTGTTTTAATATGGGGCAAAAGAATACCTCCATTAAAGAAAGGTCACTTCCAAGATAGGAAGCTTTTGTCAGATAAGTCTTGTATAATTCTTGGAGAATATGATTAGGCTTAGCTGATTTTTCTTTTTTTTTTAAAGCAAGTTGTATATATAGCCAAGAAGCCAGGAACAGGAAGTATCATGCATAGTTACATCACTATACACACCAATAACAAATAGTTATTCTTTGGGAGAGAATTTAATTTATAATGTCTCCTAAATGTTTTGTTCATTTTGGTATCTGCCCTTCAATGTTAATGACCAATCTTACATCTCAAATTAATACCAAAATCCTAAGGTTTTTCTCATTTTTAACTTGAGCCTTGAATTCAGAAAAATGTCAGCCTCGACTGGGCTTTTCTTAATCATCCTCATTTAGTAAAAGTCAATGGTTTAGACTACTTTGGGGTCATTTCTAGGATATTCTCCATTAATCCTCCTTAGTGAGAGTGTCTGAAAGAGCCCAGGATTCTAGAGCTTCTGTTCTTCACAATAATTTCGCCTCTCAGGGAGATTCCAGACATAACTGGTCCAACGTCTGCAGAGTATTGAAGAAACCCTTTAAATTCTAACCTGTACATACATAAATCTGTCATTTTTATTGTCACTGTGCATCAGGAATTCTGAGTGCTACTTATGACACTCTCACTTCATTATCTCGTTATCTTGTGCCTTAAATTCTCCATCCACAAGAGGATGAAAGTAATAGTGAGCCACGATTCAGAAGCACTACCTACTTTTTAATTTTGATTTTATTTTTATTGAATTTATTGTTGTTACGTTAGTTAATAAAATTCTATAGGTTTAAAGTGTACAATTCTGTTAGATATTATCTGTATACTGTATTGTGCGTTCACCATTCAACAAAGTCAAGTCTCCTTACATCACCATTTATCCCTTCTTTACCCTCTTCTACCTGCCCCCAACCCCCTTTCCCTCTGGTAATTACTATACTATTATCTGTATCTATGAGTTGCTGGGTTTTTTTTTTTTGTTTTTGGTGTTTTGGGTTTTTTGTTTTGTTTTCTTTTGCCTTGCGTTGCTTAATTCCTTTACCTGTTTCACCCAGCCCCTCAATTCCTCTCCCCTCTGACAGTTGTCAGTCTGTTCTCTGTATCTATGAGTCCAGTGTCTATCTTGTTTGTTATCTTCTTCATTAGGTTCCACATATAAGTGAAATAGTATGGTATTTGTCTTTCTCTGACTGCCTTATTACTTAGCATAATACCCTATAGGTTTATCCATTGCTATCGCAAAAGGTAGTATTTCTTTCTTTTTATAGCTGAGTAATATTCCATCATGTAAATGTATCACAGTTTGTTTTTTTAAAATCATGTTTATTCTATAACAGTTATCTCAATTTTTCCCCCTTTGCCCTCCTCTACCCATCCCACCCCTGCCCTGCTCCCACAGTCAAATCCCACACTGTTGTCCATGTCCATGGGTCATTTAGACATGTTCTTTATCTAGTCCCTTCCCCTTCTTTCCACCATTGTCCTCCTTCCCCATTTCCTCGGGTCACTTTCAGTCTGCTCCATGTTTCCATGCCTGTGGTTTCTTTTGTTCATTAGTTTATTTTGTTGAATAGATTCCACTTACAGATGAGATCATATGGTATTTGTCTTTCACCAACTGGCTTATTCACTTAGTATAATATGGTCCAGTTCCATCCATGTTATTGCAAAAGGAAGGAATTCCTTTCTTTTTTTTAAAATGTAGATTGATTTTATTTATTTTTAAATCAAAATCCATTATAAAATGTTACAAATTTAAATCCATTATAAAGTCTCAGCAATTAAAACAACATGACACCAACACAGAAATAATCAAGTAAATCGGTGAAATAAAATGAGCATTCTAGAAACAAATGTATATATCTAACAATGTAATATATGATTAAATCGATATTTCAAATTAATGGGGAAAATAAGGCTTATTCAACAAATAAGGTTCATGGACCACTATTACTCGAAATAAAACAAATATAGAGCCCTATTTTGCATATTATACAAAAAATATTCTGGTGAGTTAAAATCAATATGTAAAATCTAAGGAGTTTTAGGAGAAAATACAAAATTATATTTTTCTTACCTGAAGTAAAATATTCAAACCCAGAAGCTATAAAGTAAAATATTGACAATATGACTATATGAAACATTTAAGACTGTACAGTAATATACATATGAAAAAAGTTAAAGGACAAGTAATAGAATAGGAAAGTATTTGCAACACATCTAAAAAAGGGTTAATAGGCTTCTTTTTTTTTAGGGAAAAAATTCTACAAACATTTAATCAAAAAATGGATAAAGAATACCAAGAAGTCATTTAAAGCTTTTTAAAAATAATAGAAAAGGCAAGAAATATAAAAAATAGTTAACTTCAACAAATAGTGAAGTAACAATTAAAATAACACATCATTGTCACAGTCAGATTAAGTATTAAAAATATCAGTAATATCAAGTACTGGTGACTGTGAAAGGAACTGGATATTCATAGACTCTTTTTGTTCATCTTCCTAAAGCAGTCCCTTTAGCTTACCTTGCTGTGCTGGTTTGGTGGGGGTGTATTCTTTTAGCCCTCTTTTGTCTGGGAAACACCTTATTTCGCCTTCCATTTCAATTGAGAGCCTTGCTGGGTAGAACAGTCTTGGTTGCACGCCTTTGCTTTTCATGACTTGGAATATTTCTTGCCATTCCCTTCTGGCTTGCAGTGTTTCTGTTGAGAAGTCAGCTGCTAGCCATACCGGGGCTCCCTTGTATGTGACTACCTGTTTCTCTCTTGCTTCCTTCAGGATTCTCTGTTTGTCTTTGATATTTGCCATTTTAATGATGATGTGTCTTGGAGTGGGCCTCACTGGGTTCCTCTTAAATGGGACCCTCTGTGCTTCCTGGACTTGTGTGAGTTTTCTCTCCTCAAATGAGGGAAGTTTTCCATCATTACTTTTTCCAACAGGTTCTCTATCCCTTGATCCTCTTCTCCTTCTGGTATCCTTATTATATGGATATTATTAGGTTTCAAGTTGTCCTGCATTTCCCTAAATGCCTCTTCATTCTTTTTTAGTCATTTTTCATTTTCTTGCTCTTTCTGGGAGATTTTTTCGACCTTATCCTCCAGCTCACTGATTCGATCCTCTGCTCCATCTAGCCTGCTTTTGATTCCTTCTACTGTGTTCTTCAACTCAGAAATTGTATTCTTCATTTCCTCTTGCCTTTTATTGATAGTTTCTATGCCCTTTTTCATGCTGATATAGTTTGCAGTAAGTTCCTCATAGTTTGCCTGTAGTTTTTGGTAATTCTCTCTGAGCTCACTGAGCTCATTGAGCTTCCTTAGAACTGTTGTTTGGAACTCAATGTGATAGTTTACTTTCCTCTTTTTCACTTAGTTCTCTTTGTGAGATTCCTCCTTTCCCTTTGAGTGGAGGGTGTTTCTTTGTCTTCCCATTATTTGTGAGACTCTTCTTTTCTGCTTCTGCTTCTTAAATTGATCTGTCTTGATTTCCTGACTTTGTGGTGTGTACTTCTATGGTAGTAGAACAGTTTTTTTGTTCTGGATCTGTATTTGATGTCAGATGTTGACCCTGTCTGACCTTAGGCTGTTTCACAAACTTATTGTCTGTGGTTGTCTCCTTCAGTTGTTGGTCTAGTCTCGCTTCACTCAGCAGTCAGACTTAGACACCACTGGGCAGGGCAGAGTCCCTCCTGAGGGTGGGGTTATTGGGTCCTCTCACACAGCTGGCACTCAGTGGAGTGTTTTGCCTGAGCCAGATGTCTGCTGCTATATGGGGGAGGAGTAAGCACCAGGAGCCCACCAGATACTCTCTCAGTTCTCTACCCAAAGCCTCCATCTCCAGTCTCTCCTGAAGAATCTCTAGTCCCCTCTGTGCCCCCTTTAGCCAGGGATATACTCTCTGTGGCTGCTACTCTGTACTCAGCAGTCAGGCTTTAGCACCACCAGATCAGGGCAGATGTCTTCTGGGGGTGGGGCTATTGTGTCCTCTCACGCTGTTGCTGCTCAGGAGAGTGGTCTGCCTGAGCAAGATGGCTGCTGCCGCATGGGGGATGAGTCAGCACCAGGATTCCACTGGCTACTCTCAGTTCTCTCCCCAAAGCCTCCTTCCCCAGTCTCTCCTCAGGTGTCTCTAGCCCACTCTGACTCTGCCCCTGCCAGAGACCAAGGTCAGTGGCTGCAAATAAAAATTAATGCATTGGCCCTTTAAATGGCTCTGCATCTCCAGCTGCCTGTCTCTGGCAGAAAGCGACCCTGCTGCTCTTCACAGCTGGTGGTTAACTGTGTTTTTTGGGCTCTGGTGCTGTAGGCTGGAGATCCCCCCTTATGTTTTGGACCACATTCTTTTCTAGGGGATCCCACTGGCTGTTTCAATATCCTTCTGGTGCTGCCACCCATGGGCTCCCCACCTGCCTTCTCAAGCCTCAACCTCACTCCTTACCAGTTAGGTTGTGCTAAAGCTGATTCTTCTGTCTGTCCAAGGTAATAAGGCTTCTGTCTCACTATTGTTCAGTTGTTTGTTCCAGTTGATTTCTCCACAATCTAGTTGTAATTCCAGACTGGTCCTGAGAGGAGGTCAGTGATACTTCCGTTCACTCCTCCGCTATCTTGATTTTCCTCATATCACAGTTTTATTAATTTACTCTTCTTTTGATGGATGCTTGAGCTGCTTCCAGATCTTCAGTATTATAAATAGTGCTGCTGAACATGGGGTGCATATATTCTTTCAAGTTAGTGTTTAGATTTTCTTTAGATATATCCTCAGAAGTGGGATTGCTGGGTCAAAAGGCAGTTCCATTTTTAATTTTTTGAGGAAATTCCATAACATTTTTCTCAGTGATTGCACCAGTGTTCATTCCCCCTACTATTTTCATTTATTTCTTTAGCTCCAGGCAAGTTACTTTTGTGGCCTTCTCTCCAATGGCTTGAGAGTTTCTTTAAAATAAGTTTTCTGACTTATATTAAAAGGATTATCAATTAAATATTTCAAACAAGAAAATGACTCAGTCACTATTTGGCTTTTAACAGGTGCGTCAATATGTCGTACAGGTGATCTTCTCGGTGACTTTTGCATTTTCTTGCACCATGTTTGAGCTCATCATCTTTGAAATCTTAGGAGTATTGAATAGCAGGTGAGTAAAGGTACTAAGTACCACTCCTCTTAAAGAGACCTATTTGGCTTTCTTTGCAGTAGAAAACTTTCTTTGATTCCATAACTGAAAAACTTTACCACATGGTTAGTTTAGTCTCAGTACTATAATGATAACACCAAATATGGGTCCCAACCACCTAGTAACTGGTTAACAAAGATTTTAAATAGCAGGAAAAAATGTCTGACCATTAGCTCTGAATTACTAATTGAGAATGAGTGTCTAAGACCCTAATCCTACCTAAGATTCATTCCTAGAAGTTTTATTTTTCTCGAGCCATTCTCAGACTGAATTCCAGTTAATGGCCCTGCACATCGTTCTGCTAACTGAAAAATCTTTACCTTAAAAGGCCAGAATTCCTCAAAGTTAAGGGCTTTTTTGAAGACTGAACTCCAGTTCTTACTAATTTAATGACCCTACTATGTAACAGAAATATGGAACTTGATTGTGTATTATATCTATGTGTTGACTACATTCAGAATACTAGTTTTCAAAGGAGAATCTTGGCTCTAAGAGTATTTTTTTTTTAATTCACCACTGAGCAGAAGTAGCGTGGTCTCCTATTCAAATATATAATCTCGTTAGGGTCCTTAATCTTCTTAAGAGAATGTCTCTCTACCCTCAGCCCAAAAGATTGTTAAATTACATGGTTCACTTCTAATTGGCAGTGTGGATTACATTTCTCCTTTCAAACTCACTGCCTCCTCCTTCTTTCAGAGCTAAAATACTAGATATGATTGCCTGAAGGATGTGCACCTCTCTTCTTTCTCTAGATGCTCTAAAGTGGATTAATTCAGATGAGCAAAAAGCTGTCAGTATATCTATACTAAATGGTACTGGCTCTCTATAGGGTAGCCTTTACTCAATGGCTCTTTGTTTTATGATTACTGCCATCTTTACTAAGGGGGAAACAGTGAGAAACAGTCCTGTTGAAATTCATTGATATTTTTCTTGAAAGGGTGCTGTTGATGAAATTGTTCATTGCCCTTACATTTTATTCTTTATGAAATTTGGAGAATTTTCATTTCGATTTTGGTAATAAGTAATAATTATGCTTCCCTTAAGCAACTTTTTTACAGACATGATTAATCTTACAGATCAAATTTTCTATTTCAAATTAACCTTTAATAAACTTAAATCTAAATTTATGGCCTATCCATAGCAATTTCTAGAACTCTATGGTGTGCATTTTCATAACAGCCATTATGCCTGGCTTGATAGTTTACCCATCTTTACTATTGCTTTTTCCCTTCTTTTTAAGAAATATATTCATAACATTTTAACATTTAACAGGAACTATACACAGTAATGTTTTGTGATATATAAGGTAGAAAATACAGAAATTTACAAAGGTTAGAAGCAAGATGGATGGTTAAGGATAGCCCAGTCTTGTGGGCTGTTTTCTGAGGTAATAGATCAAAGTTCATTGAGGAGAAGGGGATTCAGATTACTCAGTTAGGTGAGAGGTGAGGAAAGACTAAAATGCCAGCTCCTGTATAACAATAACCAGACATTGGGTCCATCAATATCCTAAACACCTATGTGGATTTGTTTTAAGATTTAGGAAAACCCCTTACAAAGATGTCTCTCCCCATAGGCACAGAGTCCCAAATACTCACTCAATCCCAGCAGCTCTGACAGGATTCACCTAGCTCTCTCTTCCTTTCCCAGAGTGGGAAGATACCCTTAGATTTTAGACGTTATTGGTTCATTCCCCCAAAATTTGGTTTATGTCTGACTATAACACTCAATAACCCAGAATAAAAACAAAGTAGTCTAGTTTATTCTTTAGAGGGAGATACTCAGAAATACTTTGGGTTTTTTTAAATAGTTTATTTTTTATTGTAGTTCTTCCACTACCATTTGTCCCCCTTACCCATCCTCCCAACTCCTCCACCCCTGCAATCACCACAAAAGAAATACTTGTTTATGGAATGGGCAGTTCAAATCCCCCAAAGTCAAAAGGTTCCCAAAACAAACTGTCGACTGTTAGAAGTGTATTCTGGCTTCCCATTTGCAGTAGCCACTCCACTTTGACACAGTGGTGTTTCCTTTCTATTTCTTTATAGTTTATTTCATCATCTTTTATTTTATATATCCTCATAAACCACTTAACCACCTAACCATTGTTTTTCAAACAAGGCCTAAATATAAGTAAATTTAAAATCAGTAACTACAAAGGACATCATGAAAAAAAGTGAACATGTGTAAAAGACCCTTGGACAAAGACACTGCAGAGGAGGATTGAAGGTGGGAGATAGGGGGTGTGTAGGGCAGGGAAGAGTAATTGGCTGGGGGGACGGGGGGGACAACTGTAATTGAACAACAATAAAGAAATTTTTTTTAAAAAGAAACAGATATCCCAAGAATGAAGTTTTGTAAATCACAGTTCTGATAAAAGACTTCGGTCTAGGATATATAGAAAATTCTTAAAACTCAGTAACAAAAAGGCATATCACAATTGAAAAATGGAAACAGGATCTGAATAGACATTTCCCCAAATAAAATAAAATCGCCAATAAACACAGGAAAAGATACTCAACATAGTTAGCCATCAAATCAGAGAAATGCTAATCAAAACCAAAATGTGGTACCATTTGACATCCAGTAGGATAACTATAATTAAAAAGACAATAACGGCTCTGGCTGGTGTGGCTCAGTGGGTTGAGTGTCTGCCTGCAAACCAAAGGGTCACCAGTTCGATTTCCAGTCAGGGCACATGCCTGGGTTGCAGGCTAGGTCCCCCAGTAGAGGGGCGTGCGATTGGCAACCAGTCATTGATGTTTCACTCCCTCTCTTTCTCCCTTGCTCTCTAAAAATAAATAAAATCTAAAAACAAAAACCAAAACAATAACAAGAAAATAACAAGTGTTGACAAAGCTGTGGAGAAATTGGAACCCTCATATATTGCCAGAGAGAATATAAAATAGTGCAGCCACTTTAGAAAACAGTGGCAGTCCTTAAAAAATTAAATACAGAGTTTTCATATGATCCAGTAATTCCACTCCTAGATACTTAATAAAAATAAAAACATTGACACAAAAACTTGTGCACAAATGTTCATAGCATCACTTTTCATAATAGCTAAAAAGTAGAACCCAAATGTCCATAAACTAATGAATAGATAAGCAAAATGTGGTATATCTCTACAATGAAATGAAAGTTATCCGGACATAAAAAGGAAATGAAGTATTGATAGATGCTACTACAATATGGACAAACCTCAAAAAAATCATGCTAAGGGAAAGAAGCCAATCACAAAAGATCGCAAATATTGCATGATTCCATTTATATTAAGTGTTCAAAATAGGCAACATGATTCCATTTATATTAAGTGTTCAAAATAGGCAAATCCTTATGGACAGAAGGTTTCCTAGGGTCGGGGGAGTTGGAAGGAAAGGGGAGTGACTGATAATGGGTACAAGATTTCCTTGTGGAGTGATGAAAATGTTTAAAATTAATTATGATGGTCACACAAGTCTGTGAATATACTAAAAACCATTAAATTGTACACTTTAAATGGTGAATTATATCAATAAAATTCTTATAAAAATCCTAAAAACCATTAAATTGTACACTTTAAATGGTGAATTATATCAATAAAATTCTTATAAAAATCCTAAAATAGTTTAATCAATAAATAAAATATAATTTAGATACAGTATTAAAGTCATGTAAATCAGATGTTTAATTATATTGTGGGTATAAAAGAAATATTTCTGAGTATTTTAGCACATATTACTATTAGCATTTATTATTTTAATTCTCATTCGGAATGAGACTCGCAGTGGTGAGGGGAACAATAGTCATTGTACCTATAATAGTATATGTTGAATATATTATTGTACATTGCCTATGAATATAAGTAGAGCACTGATGTTCTCATTTTAAAAAGTGAAATTTTTAGGTTAAGATGATTATGTATACCTTTGGGAGCTTTATTTTTTAATCTCTCTAAATGAGCAGATAGTAACAGCCTAGCTGACTAATTAGATGGGATATACTCAGGGAGTGCAAAGGGCAAGAAATCTTTTGGAAGACTAAAGAGAATGAAAGTTGTCTTCTTCCACTCCTAGTGATAGCCTTTGGCATTTATTTCAGCTCCCGTTATTTCCACTGGAAAATTAACCTGTGCGTAATTCTGCTGATCCTGGTTTTCATGGTGCCTTTTTATATTGGCTATTTTATTGTGAGCAACATCCGACTGTGTGAGTATTTTACCTTTTCGTGTTGGCACATACATTGAGGCTGTGGGGAGCTTCATTTTCTATATTACTTTCAGTATCCTTTGGGGCTACCTCACACATAACATCTTTAAAAGGTTGGCACAAAATTAATATTGAATGAATGATTAGGTTATTTGTCCTGCTGCAGTTCTATTTCTGTTTCTGTTAGATCATCTCCTTTCATTCAACCCACATCTTAATTTCAGCCAACTTTTTTTATGGCAGTAAGGATGTTTTCTCTAAAAATTAGTGTTCCATTACTGACTTAACTAGTGAGCAAGCCAGCCAAACATTAGTTAGCATGAACCCATATCTTTAAAGTTGAGTAAGCTCTTTAGCACTTATCTTTTTAACCTCACAGTCTTGTCTCCTCTTTCTTAGTGCATAAACAGCGACTGCTTTTTTCCTGTCTCTTATGGTTGACATTTATGTATTTCTTCTGGAAACTAGGAGATCCATTTCCAATTCTCAGCCCAAAACATGGTGAGTGTATATTTGATGAGGAGGGGGAATGGGTTTTTAATAATTTTTTGACACTGAAAAAAATAATTTTTAAAAATTTCTAATTGAGAGAAGTAGAGCAAGTTATATCTCTAAACATTTTCTGGCTTTGGACCAAATTTTCCCTTTATCCTAGCAGGTGTCAAATGCTAATTTTGGAACAGATGTCTTTCATTTTAGAGCACAAATTTTAGACCTTAGGTTAGTGAATGAACTTCAAGGGAGTAAGAAGTACACAAAGGTATCCTTAACTTAAACCTCCTGGTACTATATGCAGATTATGGGAATATATTTTTATGTGTATTTGGAGGTGGGGTTTCCATAAGCTTTTATAAGATTCCCAAAGGGGTCTGTGACCCAAAAGGTAAATGGACACTGCTGAAGTGATGATAAAGATTATCTTTAGGGAATATATGTATTTTGGGAAAGAGCAGTGACATGAAACACTCACAATGAATAAAAATAGAAAATCTTCCTAGGAAAAAGTATCTCTCCTCACACAAGAAAGTTTATTTTAAATGTAAAATAGGTCATGAACAGACTTCTAATTTCTGTGCTAAAAACTATACAAAAATCTCTTGGCTAACAAATCCTTCTAGAACTATTTCAGAAATATACATTCAAGTCTGTCTAAAATAAATTGGAGAACTCACCTGTAATAAATGTACTAGAGCTTTTATACTGGAGCTTATTATACACATACACACATACCTACACACACACACACCCCCCAGTTCATTGCAATTTTCTGCTGTATTGGGATTCTTACAGCAGAAAACAGAATATAACTAGTTTGAATATAACTAGTTTAAAGCCTGAAGTGATTTATTACTAGGTTTTAGGGAGTTTATAAACTTTCTAGGAAAGTGGAGACATCAAGCTTAAATGCTGTGTGGTGAAGAAAACACCACAGAAATACTGCAGTACTAAACTAGAAAAAAACCCACTGAGGTTATCACCAGGCACTCAGGACCTGTGATATCAGGGACCAGGCATTAGAACTTCTGCCCCAGCTGCTCCAGCCCCCAAGTGCTCTTATTATTCCCGCAATATTTATTAATCCATTTCAGATCTCACTTGGACATGCAAATTTGATGCAGCCTAGGTAACATTCTGACCATTACCTTCGAGGAAATCTAAGAAAGAACTTTTGGCTTTCTACCACATTCTGTAGTATAAGAAAACATGCTAGACTTCCAACCAAGATGGAGACATAGGTAGACAAGTTTCACCTCTTCACACAACGATAAGAAGGATAACAACCAACCTAAAAACAAAAAAACAACCAGAACTGCCAGAAAATCGAACTGTATGGAAGTGCGACAGCCAAGTATATAAAGAAGAATCATTCATCCAGATGGGTAGGAGGGGCAGAGACAGGGAGTTGGGGTGGTGTGGCATGGCAAGGCTGTGGTGGTGAGGTGGCTGCCAGTGGAATAGGTGGTCCCACATTCATGTGCAGTAGATAAAAACAGGCAGGAACAATGGGAGCAAGCGATCCCAGCTGCAGGCCAGACTGTGCAGCCCAGGGTTCCAGTGCTAGGAAAATAAAGCCTCATAACCTTTGGCTGTAAAAACCAGTAGTGGTTGGGGCAGTGGAAGAAACTGCCGGTCTCTCAGGAGAGTGATTAAAAGGTCCACTGGATCCTAAGAACATACACAAACCCACACACTCAGAGTATCAGCACTAGGGCAGCAGCTAAAAGAGCACCAGTCACTAATGGGAAGTGGTGGAGATGACTGGATATGGGGCTAGAGCCAAGCAAGTGGCATTGTTCCCTCTCTGACCCTTCCCCCACATACAGCACCACAAAGCAGTGAAACAGGTTGCCCACCTGGTGAATACATAAGGCTCCGCCCCTTACAACATAACAGGTTCACCAACATGGGGAGTCAAAGCAGCTCTACCTAATACACAGAAACACAGAGAGGCTACCATGTTGAGGACACAAAGAAATATGGCCCAAATAAAAGAATAGATCAAAACTCCAGAAAAAACCAAAGCAACACAGAGATAGGCAACCTATCAGATGCAGAGTTCAAAACACTGGTAATCAGGATGCTCACAGAAATGATTGCATGTGGTCATAAAATAAAGGAAGAGGTGAAGATTATACAAAATGAAATAAAGAAAAATATACAGGGAACCAACAGTGAAGGGAAGGAAACCAGCACTCAAATCTATGAATCAGAACAAAAGAAATACACATTCACTTCGAACAGAAAGAAGAAACAGAATTCAAAAAAAAAAAAAAAAAACTGAGGAGAGGCTTAGGAACCTCTGGGACAACTTTAAACATACTAACATATGAATCATAGGGGTGTCAGAAAGAGAAGAGGAAGAGCAAGAAATTGAAAACTTATTTGAAAAAATAATAATCTTCCCCAATCTGGCAAAGGAAATAGAAATACAAGTCCAGGAAGCTTAGAGAGTCTCAAGCAAGTTGGACCCAAAGAAGGCCACACCAAGACACATCTTAATTATTAAGCACCAAAGCTAAAGATAAAGAGAGAACCTTAAAAGCAGAAGGAGAAAAGAGGAAAGTTACTCACAAAGAAGTTCCCATGAGACTATCAGTGGATTTCTCAAAAGAAACCTTGCAAGCAAGAAGGGGCTGGGAAGAAGTATTCAACGTCATAAAAAGCAAGGATCTCCATCCAAGATTACTCTATCCAGTAAAGCTATCATTTAGAATGGAAAGGCAGATAAAGTGCTTCCCAGATAAGGTGAAGCTAGTGGAGTTCATCATCACCAAGCCCTTATATAAAATGTTAAAGGGATTTAGCTAAGAAAAAGAAGAAGATCAAAACTATGAAGAGTAAAATGACAACAAACACAACTATCAACAAATGAACCTAAAAAAAAAACAAAAAAACAAGCTAAGCAAACAACTAGAACAGGAACAGAATCATAGAAATGGATATTACGTGGAGGGTTATCAGCAGGGAGGAGGAAGGGGGAGAATGGGGGAAAAAATACAGGGAAAAAGAAGCGTAATTAGTAGATACAAAGTAGATAGGAGGAGTTTAAGAGTATAGGAAATGGAGAAGCCAAAGACTTAGATGGATGACCTATGGACATGAACTAAAGGGGGTGGATTTCTGGAGGGAATGAGGAGAGGGGTACTGGGCAGCGCGGGGCAAAGGGGGGAAAATGGGACAATTGTAATAGTGTAATCAATAAAGTATACATAATTAATTAATCAACAAGAAAAAAAAGAACATGAATATAGCAAAAGAAAATAAAAATTTGACCCCAATGGGAAAGAAAAATTAAGAACATGCCAAAAAGGGATTGTAATAATGTTGAATGAACCAGTGTCTAGAATCTGCGTTCTCTCTCTTGCATCTTCCATGTCAACTCATTACATGTAGCAGGAATTTGAGAGGGAGAGGTTATAAGACTGTCCTGCAGGAGGAGCTGAGCTAATGTGCAATTTTTTAAAGCATATGCAACATCATAAACAACTGTATTTTATAAGCTAGCTGTTTTGAAATTTCAAATAACATTAAAAAACAAAAAGTTAAGAAACACCAGCCTAGCAAAAACATTCAAACTCAGCATGGCATACAAGACCCTCCCTTGCCTGACTTTCCTATGTATATGTCCTCCAGTCATTCCAAATTACTTGAAGTTTCTAGAGCTGTTCTATCAGTCTGAACAACTTCTCACCTTTTGTGTCCCTGGAAAATGCCTACTAATTCTTTCAATAGTCAACTCTTGTCATTTCCTCTGAGAAGATTTTCTTGGCTATCATTAGGGGATATTAATTGCTCCCCTAATGTGCATATATCACCAATAAAATTTATAATTGTTTATTTACTTTTCTTACTTCCTCATTCACCTTTGAGTTCCCTAAGATCAGAAACTGCATTTATTTATCTTTGTATCTCTAGTGCCTACTGTGGAAACTAGCACATGCGTTTATTGAATCAGTAAATGAAAAAAATTTTGTCTTACCAAGGTGGTAGGTGAGTTAGGGAAAATAATTAACACTCTAGATAGGAATTTAGGATTTGCTAGTATGATCAGCATGCCCGTGTTAGTGCAGGGAAAGATTTAGAGAAGAGAGGCCCTGATACTATAGCTCTCATGTAAACTATTTCAGAGAAACCCACAGAGAGACAAATTTGTTTGTGATATTAGAAATGAGGGACAAGAGTTATAAAAGGACCCCAGGTCTGCTTACAGTGATAGCACAAGCTCACATTCAGTACACAGATGTGACTATGATGCCATTCTCCAGCTTTTTCCCTATGATCAGTCAGTTCATGTGACCAGTACTGCCAGACCGTGCCCAAAGGAAAAAGAAGACCGTCACACCTATTGTACTTTAATCTATTCCTTTTTCTAAGTTCTATGAGAATATCCTGAAGGACACACTGAGAGGAAGAGCAAGGGAGAGAGTTTCAGTTTTAGTCTTTCCCTTTGTACTCCAGTAAATAATCATTTTGATTTCATGTCTGAATGTTCAGGTGCCTGATTTATTTGACCCTTAAGAGAAATGAGTTGGAAGAGAAGTTTAGACAGTGATTTAGCACTGCTTTCTCAGAGCCTTCTGAGGACTGTCCCAACAACCAGTATGGTTTATTGTTTATTGCTGTGGAAACCACAAAAAAAAAAAAGTATGAGACCTACAATGAAAATATGTGTGTAAAAGTACTCCTCAAGCAATGCCTGAACCTAGACAGGTTGGAAGACACTCCACGGGAGTGAGGAGTGAGAGTCTAAGAAAACCTATGAAGCAAGAAAGAACCTGTGTGAACAAATAGCAACAGTGAGATGGTCTTCTGCAAGTCAGTTTATCTATCTGACTTTCTATTTGTTATCTGGAAAGCGGGAAAAATAATGATTGTCCTTTCCCTTATAGAAATGCTGATATTAAGTAGATAGTATGTACAAATTACTTTAAACCAGAAAAAATTCAGTAAAGGTAGTAAAGGGGATAAAGTAAGGGAGACATTCTCCAGTTTTTTATATT